AAGGTTGGGTGCGTGAGACAGCCCTCGCGTGGGGTCTTCGGTCTCTTCTGGCCGGCTGGGATGATCACGATGGGGTGAAGCGTTGAATGGAGGGACACGGAGACACCGCTCCGTGCAGTGGCCTTGCTGACGACGGCTGAGAGCACAAGTACCTCTGGGGGAGGACGGAAGGCTCAGATGCTTGAAATCGACGAAGACAAAAGATGGATGTCGATGGGTCGGAAAATGGGTGACCAGATGAAGCAAATGAGGCAGGAATGGGCCCTTTCGATGAGGAAATCCTCATTCGATGAGGATTTCCTCATCCGGGTGAGGAAATCCTCACTCACAATAGTTTCACGATGCGAGCTTGGCAACCGGACCTAAAGCACCACGCCCTTTATCCTTTGCTCTGAGAAAAGGACGCATCGCTCTGCTTTCTCCTTTCAGAACTGTGAAACACGAGGGCTACGGAATCCTCCCTCCCCTTTTCCAGCGAAGATTTACTCATTGCAGAGCAGCGTTAATGAATTCCATGGCCTCATTTCAGGCCCCCTGCAATAGCGGGGCACCCGACGAGATGGGTGGTGGGTGTTTCTCTACATGGTGGCCGGCTATATTGACCATGTATGGCTGATGTGAGACATCCATGGCCGGCCACCTCGTGGCCAGTCAGGCCAGGATCACGGCCGTCTCCCAAGCGAAGCAACCGAGAGGGGTTGTCTGCAGTGATGCAGTGATTCACTGAATGAATGAATGAATGGAATCAATTCATTGATTCACTGACAAGCAAGCACACACTTATGTGACTCGACTGACGCCCTGTCATTGCGGAATGGCGAAGTGTCTTCTGCTCGCGTCATGCGCGTCGTTTGTGAGTTTCGCACAAGCACTTCACTGCAAATGCGTCACATTCGGATCATTCGGGCCTGTAAGGGCTCAAGGCTTGCCTAACGCTGGCAAGAAGTCTGTTTTGTCATGAGAAAAAGTCCATTTCACGTGATAACGAATTCATTGTTGCATGCGTCGGTGTGCTTCTCGCAAACACTCGTGCTGTGCACGTCTCTGTGACGCATAATTGAACCACCGCTTCGCACGCTGCTTTCCACCCCCGCCCAATTCGCGGCCCGGGGTGCCCACGCAGTGGGTGCCCCTTACTCGGAATCTTTAAGAAACAACACGTGCGGCAGACAAAACGTTCGATCACGATCGTATGGAAGAAAAAAGGAAAATCGGTAGCGGTGGTGTGTTGCTTGCACTACTACAGACACGCCAATATGTCGAACAGCTTCGTGTTCTTTGTCACGTTTGGATCAGTGACCGTTAAACGGATATGCCCTAAAGCGGCAAGTTATTGGAAAGAGCTTGTCAAGAACGTCTAGGGTGCTACCTGAAACCGCTGATGCTTGAAAATGACCGCGCTTGCTTCTCTGGGAGCGAACTTCTGAAAAAAGCAAGATCCGTAACGGAAGATGCGTCAACTGACTGAACACACGAACGCGCTAGTTTGTGGTGGATGGGATGTTTCTCCTTTGTTCCGGTCATGCAGCTGGTTAAGCTTGGTTTTTCTTGGGTGCCTTTTCGCAGGTCCCTCAGTGCGCATCAACTTTGTCGAGCTTCTGGCGCTTAACGAAAGAGATCTCGCCGACTATCGTGCAGTGGACTTGGTAGTGGATATGTTTGCAAGACTCCTCTCTGCAAATGCGGTCACCATCGACTGTCTGCTGCTTCCCGCTTGGCGCCGCAGCCTCTTCTCGCCACTCTCGAAGTCATCGAAGACGTGCAGGAGCGAATCGATGCTGTCGAGCCTTCGGTGTTATCTGCAACCACACCGGTAAGTCCCGCCAGACACAGCCAGTGTCGGCATTACAGTTCAGCAAAGTAGGCCTTCACGGCTTTGATGACGTGTGTTTTGCCGGTGCCGCCCTCGCCGGTCAGGCACATGCGCAATGGCGCGACGTATTTGCTGTCCCGCAGGTTTTTGTAGTGGTTCAGCAAGTGGCTGTAGATGATTTGGAAACCCCGCATCTGCTCTTCGTTCAATTGGTAACGGCTCGCCCAGTCAACAGAGAAGGTCCTGTCGTCGACTTTCTCAGGCGGCTAGAATGCGGACGCCGGCTGCGCCAGCAATCGAGTGAGGCTGGCAGCATCCATCGAGTGACCACCGTGTGTGAAGAGATTCGACTCGAAGAGAAGCTACTCGGGGGGCTTGCTTCATCTGACGTGGCGCGCTGTGGCCGACTTCATTTACCTTGTTGCGTTGCTGGTGCAGGGCATCGTTGGGCTGATCCTGGCGGCTCACATTTGATTGACAAGCCGATTGACAGTCATCGAAGGCAGTCTTCGATAGCCCCTTAACAGGCGCGCTAGATTGATACATGTCTATTGATATCATCGCTGGATATCGATAGGTTCACATTCAATTGTATCCAGCGATGCATTGATATACTTGGCGACGCACGTCTTCAACAAGGGCACAGCAGGAGCGGCAACATGGGGGGTGTCTTGTGTTCTTACTGCAGCCCTCTGAGTACCTGCGTGTTATCGCCACGTCTGTCTTCGGGATCTGCATGTTTTTCAAGCTCCCGCCATTGTTGTCTGCATGTTTTTGACACTCTCGCTATTGTTGCATGCGTCGGTGTGCTTCTCGCCAACACTCGTGCTGTGCACGTCTCTGTGACGCAAAATCGACCGCCACTTCGCACGCTGCTTTCAACCCCCGCCCAATTCGCGGCCCGGGGTGCCCACGCAGTGGGTGCCCCTTACCCGGAATAATGTTCAACGCCTGTTCGAGATAATGTGTGCATGACAGCTCAGATCAGTTTAACGAAGTGTGCTCTAAGCTGAAAGCTGACCTGGTGGTTATCAGCTCGCCAAATTTTTTTCTTTGCGGCCACGACAACCCAACTTTTTTTCTAGGGGGTCTTTTCAAGATCTGCTTTGTGATGGTTGTGGAGGGGGTTACTGCGAGGAACGAGTTTGCTTCGAGCTTCAAATCCGCTCACGCGTTCGCGCGAAAAACGGCGGCAAAAACCCGGAAAATCGGTTTCTGGCTGTTCGGGTTTCTGGTGCGTTTGACGCGCAAGTTTGTGTGTGAGTGCTCCTCTTGTGCTCTGTCCTTACGCAAGCGGTCATCGCTCTGCGCTCCGTCAAACACGAGAACCAGCCACCGAATGTTGACATTGCCGTCAACAATTGGATCTATGTACCCCGTACACGGCTAGCCGTCAACCCAAATCAGCACAATTGTGTCAATGCATGATACATTCCGCCATGCTGTGTTCACACGCAAGCGCTTATGGCTTTTCGTTGCGTCAAAAAGAACTAGCCACTGAAAGTTCACACAGTCATCAACCCAAGCGAAACAGAATACATCGTCCACGGCCTGCAAGCGGCCGTCGACGCAAGCGGCCGTCGCTTCTCGCCCCGAAACGAGACTATAGGCACTGAAAACTTGCTCACCGCTAACTCAACCGCAATCTCCTCGCACACGCTTTAATTCGTTATCACGTGAAATGGACTTTTTCTCATGATAAAACAGACTTCTTGCCAGCGTTAGGCAAGCCTTGAGCTCTTACAGGCCCGAATGATCCGAATGCGACGCATTTGCAGTGAAGTGCTTGTGCGAAACTCACAAACGACGCGCATGACGCGCATTCCGCAATGACAGGGCGTCATGATCAGTCGAGTCACATAAGTGTGTGCTTGCTTGTCAGTGAATCAATGAATTGATTCAATTCATTCATTCAATGAATCACTGCATGCATCACCGCAGACAACCCTCTTCGGTTGCTTCGCTTGGGAGACGGCCGTGATCCTGGCCTGACTGGCCACGAGGTGGCCGGCCATGGATGTCTCACATCAGCCATATGCAACAGGGCTGACGCTGCAGGCCGTTTGAGCCGCCCAGGCAGAAAATTTGAATGGACCTTTCAGTGAGGGGGTGCACACGAGTGCGGATGCGGTGTGTATGTCACGAATGGAGTGGTGTGAGACCACGTCCGACTCGAGACACGAGAGAGAACGGTTCGTGCGACTGTATGTCACTTGATTTGATAGCAATTGATGAGCAACACGGCCACGAATGTGTCCAATGTCACGCACATAAACTGACCCCCCTCAGAGGAGAGCGAGCGTCAGCGATTCGGTGTTTGCCTGACCAGGGCTGGTTCGAGGTATTTGGGTGGTCGACTGTGACGGTTGCGTCGATAACAGCAAGGTGTGCCCTCAGGGGGCGAATTGAAAGGGGAGAAAGGGGACAGAGAGGTTAGATCAGAGCGTCGGAGAGGGCGGACTTCACTTGAGACACGTGTGACACGGCGTTTGGCAGGACCACAGGGATTGAGGATGATGGCAGCTTACACACACGCTTTTCCTGTGAGAGATCTAACGCAGCACAAACAACCAGAAGCCTTCCTCTCTCTTCCCTCGGGGTACCTCCGGCAGGCAACCGTCAACTCGCCACCAGCGGGCCCTCTGGCAGCGACCGCGTCTTACCTCCTGCCGGCAACCGGCTCGGACAGAGCAGAGAGGGAGGACCAGCTGGCCGTATCGGCGCCCGAAGCACTCAGCGAGGAAAGGGGGAAGCCGCCAGATGGATGGAAAGGATGGGAAAACTCAAAAGGGATGGATGGGATCACTCAAGGGATGGATGGGATTCAGTCAAAGTACACACAGAGTCTTTTTCCCCACGGAAAGATGATGGAAAAGTCACGAGTTCATTGCAAGCTCATCCCGCGATCCCAGGGCACGACTCTCCCTCAAACAATAGCTCATTTGCCCGATCCTTTTACATGGTCAAAATATTTCTGTTTTACACACCAGACCCTAACACAGATTGGACTCGGGGATTGGCGGCTTCATCAGCGACTTGTAGACCCCACAGGCCGCCTCTGCCGCTCCCTGCCGTCCCAGCGGCTGCCTAGTAGTTGTTTTAGCCGCGGCATCTAGCCATCCATCCTTCCCTTTCCAGCCATCCCTTCCCCTCTGTCCATCTTCCCCCGTTTGTTTTCTTAGCGAGGATGTCAGCGGGCCCGTCATCGGCCAAGCCGGCGCCGCCGATGGCGCATGCGACGGTGGAGCAGATCAGGCAGTCCGCCTATCGACAGTCCAAGGCGCAGATCGAACAGGAGGCGAAGGCGATTGTGGCCATGCTCAAGATCAACGTGCCTGCGAACATCGGCGAGGCGTTTTAGGCGATAGCCCAGAAGCGAAGCCTGGGAGCGCATCTGAAGGTAGGCGGGGTGCGAAATGGAGAAAGAGGGATGCTCTCACACGGTGGGTAGGGTGGTGTTTGTATGTGTGTGTGGGGATGTCTGCAGCGGTCGGAGCTGCTGGCGTTGGTCAAGTTCATCGGCAAGGACGCGTTGCACATGAAGGTGATGTACGAGGCGGACGGCAGATCTGTGCTCCAATGGCTACCGGAGTCGCAACATTGATGAGCTGAAGCGTCAGGAGCGAGGCCAGCAGCGACAGCTTTTGGCTGAGGGTGCAGATCACTGGTGAGGTGACCAGATGGAGGCGGGGGAAGAGAACACCGAGAATACACACGGCTCTCTCGTTATGCGTGTGTGTCTATGCAGGTTGCGAAGGGGATGTCATTGCGCCTTGAGGCATTGGCCGTGGCAGATCAATTCATTGCCGGTGAGAGAAAGCGCCGAGCGGGCAGGAGGGTGCGCGTGCATTGGCGTGTGGGTGTGCCTGTCAGACGTGTGCTTCAACGGGGAAGGACGTCGATTTCCGACGAGTGCAGCCATGGTCGACAGACATGTGAGGGGCGACGCGCCGCCTCGTCGAGGTGAGCGAATGCACGGTCGAGCTGGCAGATGGCGAACCCCGCTCATCGTCCGTTTGTGTGTGTGTGTCAGGTGGCGAACATTTGGCGATAAGAGTGTGCGCAGCGATGGAGGGTTGCGAGAGGGTGGCGATATAGATAGATGCTGCACTGTGTGTAGATAGGCAGCTGTTGCCTGTCAGTAGTAGGTCGCATGTGTATGCTGGGCGGACAAGTGCATGACGGGCGAGTGCACGACGGACCAACGCCATTCACATTCATTCAAAGCTGGTTGTTATCGTTCTATTTGCCTATGGCTAGCTTCAGCGAATCTACCGGCTTTCACATACATGGTCAACATAGCCGGCCACCCTGTAGAGAAACACCCACCACCTCCCTCGTCGGGTGCACCGCCGGTGCACCCGGCGGTGCACCCGACGAGGGAGATGGTGGGTGTTTCTCTATAGGGTGGCCGGCTATGTTGACCATGTATGGCTGATGTGAGACATCCATGGCCGGCCACCTCGTGGCCAGTCAGGCCAGGATCACGGCCGTCTCCCAAGCGAAGCAACCGAGGAGGGTTGTCTGCAGTGATGTGTTGAGGGGGTTCACGCTATTGAGATAGCTCTTACTCGATGCTCTACTAAGGACACTTCTCGATGGGAGACACTCACGATTCAACGACAGGCACACGCAAACGAATAAGGTCTCACGAGGTCACAAGCAGTCACACACGGCACTGCACCACACCTGCTGACGACGGCAGGCTCTGACACGACTAATACACACACTCACTCACTCACTCACTCACTCACGACAACTGCTGAGGCCAGCAGCCTCGGCAACACAGCTCTCCGTCTGCTTCTTGGCACGCCTTGACGCCTCGGGCTTGGTTGGTTTGACTTCCTTCTTCAACAATCAAGCGGGCAGCTTCACAGTCAGTAGGTAGGAGTCGCCGAAGGGATGGGGATGGCTGGAATCAGTGAAAAATCGACAAGTACCGAAAAGATCAACGAATCGGCACTTCGTCCTTCGGGATCACCGGAAAAAGCCGTAATGCTCAGCCCGTGCCCAATCGGAGCGCCAGCTCTCGCTCTGGAGCCTTTCGTCCCGCTCCGGCGCCGTTCGCCTCTAGCGCTGGAGCGCGAGGCCTGTCGCTCCGGAGCGGCAGGAGTCGTTTAACGAGACTCTAACTCTGATTCTCGACGTCATTTCCTGTTGTTTCGTACTATTGCCGCCGCTGCGACGCTGGAGGCCCTTCCCTCCCTTTTCTAGCGAAGCGTTATCCATCATCATTGACAGGGAGATTCGAGTGAGTCCATGCACTGAATTGAGTCACCCTGCAACAGATGCATGCAGTGATTCACTGAATGAATGAACGAATGAATGAATTGAATGACAATATTAATGATCCATCATTGATTGTTGACTGACAAGCAAGCACACAATCGTGTGACTCGAGAGAATGACAGAGCGATTCGTTCCATGCACACGACAGCTCAGATCAGTTTCACGGATCTTGCTCTAGCTGAAAGCTGAGCTGGTGTGGTTATCAGCTCGCAAACAATTTTGCGGCCTCCGCAGAACCAACTTTTTTTCTAGAGGGTCTTTTCAAGATCTGTCTTCGGATATCTGTGGAGGGGGTCACTGCGAGGAACGAGTTTGCTTCGAGGTTCAAATCCGCTCACGCGTTTGCGCGAAAAACGGCGGCAAAAAACCCGGAAAATCGGTTTTTGGCTGTTTTCTCTCGGGTTTCTGGTGCGTTCGCCGCGCAAGTCTGCGTGTGAGTGGTCCTCTGCTCTGTCCTCACGCAAGCGATTGTCGCTCTGCGCTTCGTGAAACACGAGAACCAGCCACCGAAAGTTGACGGTGCCGTGAACCCAAATCACCACAACTGTGTCAATGCATGATACCTTTCGCTGCTTTGTGTTCACACGCAAGCGCGCATCGCTTTTCGTTCCGTCAAAAGAAGAACGGATCACTGAAAGTTTACACAGCCATGAACCATCAGTCACACAATGCATCGTTCACGGCACAACTGCTTTACGCTCTCTTCGTACGCAAGCGGCCGTCGCTCTTCGGCCGCGCAAACGAGACCATAGCCGCTGAAAACTTGCTCACCGCTAGCTCAACCGCAATCTCCTTGCACACGCTTCAAGGTCGATCTGGTTGATGAAAGATATGCCCACGGACGCTGCCAGAGACGATTTTGCTTCTAGTCGCAATTGCGCTCTGTCGTTCGGGTAAAAGGTGGCGAACACTGGTGTCGGTTACACGAAATTCGGCGTTGTGATATCTCTCGGGACTCTCATTCATTCGATGCAAAAGCATGTATGTCTGATACATCCCGTTATGCTGTGTCTGCACGCCAGCGGCCATCGCCCTGCGCCGTCTTGAGAAAGAGAACTAGGCACCGAACGTGGGCACAGCTGTGGACCTACACCAGCACGATTGTGTCAAGGCATGATACATCTCGCTATGCTGTATTCACACTGCAAGCGGCCATCGCTCTCCACTCCGTCAAAAGGAGCCACCGAAAGTTTACACAGCCGTAAATAATCCCAAAGTAATACACCTTTCCAGCTCGGTCCTCACGCATGTGGCCGTCGCTCTCTTCGCCTCAAAAGGAGAACCAGCCCAATAAAGGTTTACGCACCCCAACCACCAAACGGTGTGCATCGTCGGTTGTCAAACGTGTGGATCCCGTCAGGCACGATTTCGCACCCCGCTCTGTTCTTTTGCAGCCACTCATGTGCTTCAGCTCGCCCTCCGTTGAGCGCCACCCCCGGCCAGGCCTGTGTAAAAGCCGAAAGGTGCACAGTGTTCTGTGCCTGAGAGCTTTTCTTTGTGTGTCGTTGTCAAGTACCAAGTCTCTTCTACAATAACCACGATTTCAGTTCTGTCAGTAGACCACATGGTGTGACTAACTAAAGAGTACTAAAGAGCCGTCTGAGACGTTTGAGACACGGCTTGCTGCGATGATTGGGGTTTGTCAGAGAGGGAAAAAGATGCTCTGCTCACTTGTGTAAAGGCCTACGTGCTATACAAAGACCCAACAAGGAGAGACAGTAGAGGTTTGACGGAAAGCCGACACTTTGATGATCCACCACGGAGGGCCCTTCCCAGGCCTGGCACTGCCTCAGCTTCGAAATCCGTTCCCGAATTTAAGAGGAGCGAGATGTCTCCTTTCCCTGCATCGAAGTAATCCGAGCTCTAATTACAGCATCCATATACCCTTTTTTTACATTCTCTGCTCCGTTTAGGTTATGTTACCGCCTTGTTCTGTCCTGCGGTGTCTGTGTCCGATGTGCTATAAGTAATAGCACAAAGCTCGAGGATGCTGGATGAAGTGTTGCTGGTGAGTTAGAGTGGGTGTTTGATTGGGTGTGAGAAGGTTTCTGTTACTGAAGGCTCAAGGTATCTCTGTTCGCACACACGGGGAACTGCTCTTATCAACGACCGACTGTCTGTCTGTCCCGCAGACGGGCACAACAAACGAATGAACGAACGATCGGACGACGAACGACGAACGAACGCACACTTGTGACACACGATGCACCACCTAGCTGCTGCTTACAACAACTGGTCTGGAATCTGCCTGTGCTGACGATGGGAATCAACACAGGAAGGTCGAAACGATGAAAAACGAATGAAACAACTGCTGCACACTGAACGTCGGCAATTGGCGATGAGGTCCAAGGGGTGATTCTCCTTTTCGCCTGTCTAGGGTTCCTAGGGTTTGTCGTAGGGGTCCTTCCGAAGCACCCCTGATCTTGTAGGGCACCTTCCTTCGAATTAGGGATGCTTCATCATTCCGTTTACAAAGCCTTTGGTGCCACCGTGAAACCAAAAGGAGAGGCACAGCGAGGACAAGGGAAGATGTGCGCTTCCCTCCCTTTCCTAGCGAAGCGTTTCTCTATGAGGATCGAATCACTCAGGCACGATTCTCATCAATGATTCAGATACCCCTTTCTGATCACCCTGCAGCAGTTAATTCATCCGTTGCGAGCACGATCTCTTGTCTGGTTATCCGTGAAAAAGTGATGACACCCCGTGCAAGCCTCTTCCCCTGATCGCACATTTTTTAAAACGTCCAAAATGTGCCAAAATATATTTAAAAGCCGGCAAACCGCCGAAAAATATTTAAAACAACCAAACATATAAAAAGTTGATTTTAAATCCGGAGAAATTTTTAAACAACGTCGGAGAAATTTTAAAAAAATCAGATAGACAAGGAACGCATTTTAAAAGCCGCAAAGAAAGGATGATTTAAACTTTTGGGTTGCAACCCGTTGAATCACATCTTCCTTGCCATGTTCCTTTCTTGCAAACCAATGTCCTTCACACATCGAACTAGATAACACTCGTTTGTAATGTCCACACAGTCCATTTGCCTTCACACTTACACACACACACGCACGCACACATAAGACAGACATAAGATTACACACAAGACATAGAGACATGCATACATTATTTCATACAGAAACAGCCAGACAGTGTCGGCAGATGCACCACATGGAGTCATAGAGATAGACAGTCGGGGCTTGTATGTACACGAACCAATCAATTAATCAACCAGTCAATCAATCATTCACCCAATCAATCGACTGACTAGATAGGACAGGGTGAATGTGTCTCGGTCGGTCGGATACCGAGTAAGCAGAGTATCTCTCTCGCTTCACTTACAAATCCCAATCACCGCGTACAAGTCTCAGACGGCCCCTCAGTCAGTCCCTTCATATTTAGCGCTTGCCGGCGCAAATCAGTGCCAATCGGAACAAGAAGGGCAATGGACGGCCATGCATTGTCTGCACATTGACAAAAGAGCCCTGTTTTCAGCACACCGTCAAACCATGACGTCTCACGACCGACTTTCGCTGCCACGTCTATGGCTCAGCTCTCCATCTACCTCCGCAACGGTGCAACGCAACTCAAATTTGTGCATCCAAATAGCCGCTAACGCATGTACTGTCATCCTTCCCCGACCAAACCGAGCCAAATTTGCTAAAGTGGGGAAAAAAGGACTAGAACTGTCGTGTGCATCCCCCGGCCCACCTACCGCCGGGGTTCCGAATGCTACACTGCTAGCACATTTCGTTGAGCACACCGTGGGATTTACCATGAAGTCTTGCGTGTCGTTCCTGGTGCTCGTCGTGCTGTTTGGCGCTCCTTCTGCAGCTTCGTCCACTATGGAGGCTGGAGACGAGAACGGGACGACACCCAACATTGAGTAAGCCGCTCCAAAGGCAAATGTCAACTCGGAGTACATCGCTGTTTCCATTGTTCGAGCAGCCTCCAATTGTTCGACGACGTCACAGAGGCGGCGGGACTCACGAGTATCAAGGCATTATATGTGTCATGGGGCTCGTCATGGGGTGACATGGATGGCGATGGTGATCCTGATCTCTGGGTCAGCAACCATTATTCACGGCCTGTACTCTACGAAAACTTGGGGGACGGCACGTTTCGCAACGTTCGTAAGCAGAGGTTGGGAAAGATGTACGGGGACCTTCACACGGCCAGTTGGGTGGATTTCGACAACGACGGCGATCAGGATCTGGTTGTGCTACATGGTGGGAGAAGGGCAACCGGCAAGGAAGACAATCAGGTGTTTGTCAACGACGGCAGTGGCCATTTCAGTGAGCGCGCCGAGCAGCTCGGCTTGACGCATGGATGGGCCCGAGGAAGAGCACCTTTGTGGTTCGATTCCAATGATGACGGCCGTCTGGATGTGCTTTTCACGGCTCTTCTACGTCCCGACGGGCGCGACTACACGCGTTTCTTCAGACAGAAGACAGATGGGACGTTTGTCCCGGACGAGTCAGCAGGCTACGACACCCCTAAATCTCCAGTGACAATGGCATATTTGACGGATGTCAATGGTGACCAAAAGCTTGACGTTGTCGAAGCATCGTACTGGAGATTTCCTATTGCTGTGTTTGACACGATGGATCCGACGGCTGCTCAACGTATGAAGCCACCTTTTTTGGCGAAACCTGTCAAGGACGTGGCCTTTGCAGACTTGAATGGTGATGCTTTTATTGACGCAATCGTGCCACCTTACGTTAGAAGGAATATTGTGATCCAGCGCAACGAAAGTCGGGTCGAATTTCACATGCCCAGCGTTGCCGAGGAAATCGGTATTGATGTCCGGACTGAAGGAGCGCTGACGATCCAGTTTCAGTGGAAGCAGAGGGTTCTAATCGGCTCCAATGGATATCCTAAGACCTTCGGAAATCTTGATCCTGAGTTTAATCGGCATTATCGGCTCCTTGGTGGCATTACCAATGCTGAAGATGTGTTTTCTCTCGACCCTGCAGATGCAAAAAACCAGGGCATAGCCCGTCACACACCCGGTGTGGACAATGGGATATACATTGGCTACTTTCCATCAGAGGGAACTTGGCGGGTGCTGAACAGCGGCAATCCATCCCGCCGAATATCTGGCATTTTATCATCGTCGCAGAAGATCACATCCCTCGGACGCATCGGCTTCTCAAGCCATCCGAAGGGTGGTGCACGTATCTTCATATGGAACCCAAAGGAGAGTCGGTATGATGAGAAGACATACAAGTCAGGTTTAAGCGCTGCCGGTGATTTCGGGTCGGAATCAATCGTGGCGGGAGATTTCGATAACGACTGTGACGTCGACTTTTACGTTGTCACGACGACTACTCTTGAGAACACCCCAAATCGATTGTATCTCAACGACGGTACTGGAAATTTTGTCCTGTCACCTAACGCAGGGGGAGCAGCTGGTACGTCGACCGGTATCGGGGATGCAGTCACTGCCGCCGATTACGACTGCGACGGAGCTCTCGACATGTTTGTTGCGAACGGTGGGGGAACGGGGCGAAACAGAGTGGCTTTCAAGGTGGGTGAGGGGAAAGACCAGCTCTTTCGCAACCGCGGGAACAGCAATGGATGGCTGGAGATTGATCTCGAAGGCACTGCATCGAACCGCGACGGAATTGGTGCAACCGTGTTTGTGGAGGTCGGCGGGAAAACCCAAGTTCGCGAGCGTGGCAACGGAATGCACTCTCGAAGTCAGGACCACGCACGTTTGCACTTTGGTCTCGGGACGGCCAACTCAGTTGACCGTCTGACAGTTCGCTGGCCGAGTGGCCAAATTGACGTCATCAAGAACATTGCGGCCAACCGAGCGATTCGGGTGAAGGAGGGTGGCACAATACATACGGTTTGCGAATAAGCGGATCCGTTGGATATACGTGGCAGGGATCGACTTGTGTGAAAGGACGGACTGATGCATGACAGCGAACAGCCTACCCTCCTTGGCGAGTTGAGGTGGAGTAGGCTGATGCCGTCTAAAGGGATGTTAGGGCTCGGTGATTTTCCTAAGCAATATGGATACGTGTGGCTGGGTGATGGCAACATGTCGCGTGCATTGTGTGCGTGAAGTGAGGAAGTTCCTTTGTCATGGTGTGAGTCCCAGCCTGAGAAGAGGGCGGCCATGCATGTGTGAAAGACGTGTCAGCATGGGACGAAGGACGCGCAAGGTGCAGAGAACAACACATACTCTCATGGACGGGGCTCAATCTGTCACAGATGAGCCCACGTGTGTATCTGAAGGCTCATCCCTTCATTGATTTGTCCTTGCGTGGGTTCATGCACCGTGTGTCATCATGCACACAACACCAATACGGACACACACAGGCCGATGGGCCAGGCTTGGCAACCCTGGCTGGCAACACCTGCGCATGCATTCCTCAGCCAACCCTGCTGGGGCTCGAACACACCCAAATTCTACCACTAGACACCCTGATATGGACACAAGTCTGTCGTCCACACCATGTATCCCATCCGTCAGTAGTCGCAACACGCGCACCACCATCGATGGGTCATCTAGCCATCAGCAGATGAAGGGAAGAGAGAGAGAGCCCACTCGCCCACGGCGCAGTCGGACCACGAATGCACACGGCGAACATGTGCTCACAGCACCATGAAACGCCAGATCTCCATGGCCATCACGTCCAGCAGGCACCACGGTGCTCAGATCCACCATCTCGACACGTGCTCATCGAACCATGACCGAGATCTCCTCCAAAACGTCTCACAAACGTGGCAGGGACCCATAGATCTGACAGATAAAGCACTCCGTGCTGTCGGCTGACCTCTCTTGGCCCTCCAGCGCCATCTTCCTCGTCGCCACAAGCCTGCACACCCAGAAACACGACCCGCACACAGCCGTCGAGAGGAACTACCTCTTCCCGACGCTGACCAATCACCTCAACCAAGGAACTACCGCAGCACGACGCCTCGCGCCCGGACTCACGTGTCTACCACGAGATGGTCCGTCTCGGTCACCAGCGGCGCTTCATACCTCAGATCTGGCTTACTGCCTCAGCCTCACGTGCCTGCCTGGTGGTGGTTGGGTCCGTCATGTGTGTATTACCCTATGGGTGTCAGGTTCGTGACGACGGGGAGAGCCTGACACATCGTCCTGACCAATTAATTTGGAAGGCTCTCCCCGTCTATTTTGGAACGAAGCTTTGAGGAAAATGGAAAGAAGTCAGAAGGCTCATGCAGCGCCGATGACTGATTTCGGCTTGGATGCATGTTTTCGGCTTGGATGAGGTACACTAAGCCCAACTGCTCCCGGGCGGTGTCCCAGATGGAGCGGTGTCTAATGGTAGAGTGTGACTGCTTTGAGTTTGAACGACGGACACTATGCAGACCTCCGGAGGACCTGAGTGGCCACACTGGAGCATGAAAAGGCTTCACCAAGCAACATTGAACCAAAGATTCAACAGTCCAACACCAGTCCATTCTAGACCCCGGCGGGGCCGGGGGATGCACACCACAGCCCTTGTTTTTTTTTTTTCCTTAGTGCAGAACACGTGCGTAAACTCCATCTAATGAGGGGTATGACGGGCATGTTGCACTGCCATGTACGTGTAGACTGCGATTTTGTGAGCAGACTGGGATGGGCGACGTCGAGACACGTTTTGGTTGACGGTGTGGTGATGTCGATGTGGCACGCGTGGC